GATTTACCCTTCCTGTGTTCTCTTTGTAATGTTAAGCAGAATATATGTATTTTTCTTATTTTCTTTTCTTTCTTATACAAAAATTGGCTTACTATATGTGTTCTTCTGCACTTTGCTGTTTTCACTTAATAATGTCTCTTGAAAGTCATGCCACCAGAGCTCCCTTTAATGTCTCTTGAAAGTCATACCATATTACTTTATAGAGATCTTCCTTATTCTTTATTTACAGCTGTAAAAACTGTGTGCCGTTGTTTTTTATTCAACCAGTCTTCTATACTTGACAACCAGGTACATTTTTGCACAAGAATAAAGCAAGGACAAAAGACCCTATCTTGAAGGCATATATGCACACACAGAGGAGCCTTCAATTAATCCACATTTTCCATTCCTACCTCCTACCTTACCTGCAGCCCAGAGACTCTCTCCTGCCAAAGAGATCAGTCTTCTTCTCCCTCTGCTCCAGCCCTTTCTGCGTATCTTTTAGACTTCTTTTTTTTTTTTTTTTTTTGGCTTTTTTTCATAAGACAACATTCTTGCCAGATTCCAGAATTTATTTTCTGAAAATTATTGAGGCTTTTAATCAACTGATGCTCTTTCTGAAATAGAACCATACCTCACACCATATACAAAAACTAACTCAAGATGGATCAAAAATCTAAATGTAAAACATAAAACTATAAAGATCATCAAAACAAAAATAGGAACAAACTTAGGGGCCCTGATACATGGCATAAATAATTTATCAAACATAACTAAAAATGCACAAAGAGCAGAAGATAAACTAGATGACTTAGACCTCCTAAAAATTAAGTACTTATACATATCAAAAGATTTCTCTAAAAGCATAAAAAGAAAGCCTACAGACTAAGAAAAAAAATGACAACAATATATCTGACAAAAGGGTAATCTCTAAAATTTACAGAACATCAACAACAAAAGACAAACAATCCAGTTAAATATAAATATGAAGAGACACTTCACCAAAGACACTCAGGCAGTCAACAAACACATGAAGAAATGCTTGCAATCATTAGGTATTAGAGAGATGCAAATCAAAACAAAAATGAGATATTATCTGACCCCAGCAATAATAGCAGAGTTAAAAAAAAATCTTGGTGAGGATGTGGAAAATTGGAACTTGCAAACACTGCTGGTGGGACTGTAAAATGATACAAAGATGTGGCACTTCCTTAAAAAGTTGGAAGTAGAAGTATCATATGATCCAGAAATCCCCCTGTTAGGGACACAAATAGATATATGCACACCTTTGTTCATTACAGCATTATTCACAATAGCAAAAAGATGATGGAAACAACATAAGTGCCCATCAATGGATGAATGGATAAACAAACTATAGTATATACACACAATGAAATACTGTGCAACATTAAAGAATAAAGACCAATCTATGAAATTATTGAGGCTTTTAATCAACTGATGCTCTTTCTGAAATAGAAGCATACCTCACACCCTATACAAAAACTAACTCAAGATGGATCTATGAAATACCTCATAACATTGATGAACATTATGCTGAGTGAAATAAGTCAATCACAAAAGGATAAATATTGATAAGACTACTGCTATAAAAAGTCAAGAAAAGATTTACACACAGAAAGAACATTCTTTGATGGTTACAGGGATGGGAGGACAAATCACTAACTAGAGAGTAAACATATATTAATTTTGGTGAAGGAAAAGACAGTATACAATCAGGGAAAGTCAGCACAGCATGACCTAGGCAAAGGAATACACAGGGAGGAACACAGTGTAAAAGGCAGCAATGGTGAATACCATTACATATAATCCTGCAGTAGCAGTAATAACAAACAATAATCTATGAGTAGATACTAGATAGACATGCAAGCTGAACAGATGTGGGATGGTGAATGGGAGTCACCCACAAGTATATATAAGCTTGACAGGATATTTCTACATACACATTTGTGTGTGTTGCAAATATATCCATGTATTTAGTAGAGTATACAGGGAGCAAAGTTATTAAAATTTCTCTGGTAGCATAGTGCCTAAGGCACTTGACTTCTAACCAGAAGTCTGGCAGTTCAAACCCACCAGCCACTCCTCAGAAGGAAGATGGGGCAATCTACTTCCATAGTGATACTGCCTCAGAAACCCAAGGAGGGGTCGCTATGAGTCAGGTCCGACTCGACGGCACATACCAACCAACCAAACCATAATCAAACACCTTGAGGGAATTGAGTCACTGGGCTTGGAGGTTTATGACCATAGTCTCAAGGGACATCAAGGTCAACTGGCATAATAGTCCACAAATACAATGTCTTACATCCTACGTTGGTGAGTATCGACTGGGGTCTTAAAAGCTTGTGAGTGGCCTTCTAAGAGGCAACTATTGTTCTCTCCCTGTGGTAGTTAAAATTATGCCTCAGCTTGGCTGGGGCTGGTTGTGAGTAGCTGGGCAGCTGGATGTAGTGATTCCCCATGATAAGACTGGTAATCAACTCCATGGTGGAATCTGCTGTGAGCAGCTGAGTAGCTGCCTTAGGGATGTAGTCTACTTCCAGGATATAAGGAAAAGCTTTGAGAAAGACCATTGACCTTTTTGGCATGCTTGGATCCTGCACATAGCCAAGTCTTCATTCAGCAGCCTACTATATTGCCTGCCGATCTTGGGACTGTCTGTGGACTTGAACTAGTGGCCTGCCATGTTGCTTCATAATGTTTGGACTGTGCCATTTTACTTGTTGACTTTGGATTTGTCAGCCTCAGCAGCCAGAAGCTGCTTGAGTTAAGAGACACCTCCAACTCCAGTGGGCCAGGAGCAAGAGACAGAGCTAAAGCCCAAGGTCAAGGGTCCTTCACCCAGCCCCTAGAGCTGGCACTTGGACTCAAACTTTTAGCTTCCTAAACTGTAAGAGAATAAATTCCTGTTTGTTAAAGTCATACATTTGTTAAAACAGCATGAGAAAACCAAAACACTCCCCTTCTGGAGCAAAGAAGAGTGAAGAAAATCAAAGACATAAGGAAACAATTAGTCCAAAGGACTAATGGACCACATGAACCACCGCATCCACTAGCTTGAGCCAGAAAAACTAGATGGTGCCCTGCTACCACTACCAACCACTCTGATCAGGATCACAATAGAAGATCCTAGACAGAGTAGAAGAGAAATGTAGAACAAAATTTGAAATCATAAGAAAGATGAGACTTACTGGTCTGATAGAGACTAGTGCAACTCCCAAGACTATGGCCCTTAGACACCCTTCAAACCTGGAACTGAACTCACCCCTAGGGATCACCTTTCAGCCACACAATAGGCCTATAAAGTGAACAATAACATGCATGAGGAATGGACTCCTCAGAACAATCAACCATACAAAACCAAAAGGGCATAATTTATCCACAAACAAAGATCAGAAGGCAGGAAGTGGCAGGAAAGAGGAAAGAATAGAAAAGGGGACCCCAGGGAGGAAATAAGGATAGTCTGTTACATTGAGAATATTTTAACTAATGTCACGAAACAAAATGTGTATAAGTAGTTGAATGGAAAACTAATTAGCTCTGTAAACTTTGACCCAGACCATAATAAAATGTTAAAAAAAAAAAAAAAAAGTGGCATAGAAAGGTACATGGGAGGTACAGACAACAAAGATGAACCCTTTTGCTTATACAGTACAATGTTGTCAGTGAGGGAAAGCATTGATCTATAGGTGGATAGATGAGTGGACAGGCTGAATGATCAGATAGGCAGGGGAGAGTGTGCCCATGACCAGGTATAGGGTTGACAGACAATGTTTCTACATGCATATTTGTATGTGCTGTAAGAATGTCTGGGTGTATAGTAGAACGGACAAATGGCAAGGTTGTAATGACTTCTTGGCCACAGCTAGCTACCTTGAAGGAGTGAGTACTTGAACCTGTGGGCTATGGACTGTGGTTGCAGAGGACATCAAGCTCAATCAGCATAACATACTACCCAAAAACATTGTTCTACATCCTACTTTAGTGAGTAGCAAATGGGGTCTTAGAAGCTTGCAAGCGGACATCTAGATGCAATGATGGGTCTCTTCTTGTCCAGAGCAAAGAAGAATGAAGAAAACCCAAGGTGCATGGAAACAATTAGTCAAAGGGACTAGTAGACCATGTGATCCTCAGCCTATATGACCAGGAGACCAGAAGAGCTAGATGGTAGCCCAGCTTCTACTGTCAACCACTCAAAGGGGCATTGGTGCAGGAGATCCTGGATAGAGTGGGAGAGCAATGTGGAACAAAATTAAAAATCGTAAAAATGACCAGGTTTGCTGGTCTGATAGAGCCTGGTGAGACCCCTGAGATTATAGCCCCTAGCTACCCTTCAGGTCTGGAACTGAACTCACTCCTGTGGCTTCCAGTCAAACAATAGATAGGCATATGGGGTGAATATTTACATTAGGTAGATACACTCCTTGAAGCAATCAATTGTGGGAGAACAGAAGGGCAGTGTTTGCACAAGGAGATAGTTTGGGGGGTGGGAGTGCAAGGGATGGAAGGACACAGGGAAGAGGTAACTACAGGAAGGAAATGGGAAGAGAGCTGTCACATTGTGGGGAATTGTAGTCAATGTCATGAAACAAAATGTGTTTGAACTGCTGTATGGAAAATTAATTTGCTCTGTAAACGTTCACCCAAATCACAATAAAAAATTTTTAAAAAATTGAACTACCTAACTACCTACCTCCTCAAAGAAATGATAATAATTTCAAACGCTACCAACTTAAAAGCTCTATGATTCTATGTTTATTCTGTTTCTAAATTCTGGAAAACATTGTATTTTGTAATATTTTCCTGAGTTCTACAGATGTCTATGTCATCCCCTGCCTTTGCCTCTAGGAAACATTAGTGGGTTTTTAGAAGAGAGTGAAGGCGAAGTAGTAGAGGCCTCACCAAGTGGTAAAATAAAAATGCTTTGGGAAATGATATAAAGACCTCAAAACTACTAATGTGATTATTTATCTTTGGCTGTTTGTGTGACTTTTCCACAGCTATGCTTCCTTCAACACTGCTATGCTGCCTATAGATGTCCCTGCCGTTGTTCAGGATTTACCAGAAGAAGACAGACTGGAAATTGTTGAGCGGTACTTTTTTTGCTTTTGGTCTCTAATGTGATCTGTTTCCCAAAAATACGGTAAAGGTTGTGAGGACTTTCAAAGGAGCACACAGTGCCTGAGCCTAAAATCCAGATAAGATGTTAAAATGACATGGCAGAGGCATCATCTAACCTTCTCTACTTCACAAGGTGGGAGGAGGATCAAGATCAATAGTCCAAAGATGATTCCTGTGAGGCAGAGGTCAGACATGCCTCCACCCTCTGATCTTTTTACCAATTCTGACACCAACTGCCCCTCCCACAGCACTCTGTTTCTCTGCTGGGTTTGATAATTCCTTGCAATGGCCACGCAGAACTCATAGACAATATTCACAATTATGGAGTTTATTAGGGAAGTCACAGGTTACAATTCAGGATCACAAATGACTCAGGGTATAGTTATTTAATTAGGACAGCCTCTTCTCAGCAGTCCCTATAGGCATGACTCTCTCTGGCCCTTGGCCTCTTGGCCCCGCAGCCCCTTGGCCTCTGTCCTACTGGGGCAAGTGTTACAGAGATCTTTTAGCTCTGCCAGAGGCACCCCACTCCTCCAGTAAGCCTTGGCCCAAGGCACTCAGCTCTAGCTCCATGGGTTGCCAGATTTAGCTCCATCCAATGCCCAGAGACATACCACTCCACCAGCAAGCCTTCTGCCCAGAGGCACCCAGCTTTCTCACTCTATGGGTCCTGAAGCCTACAGTACTGTCTTCTTCAGGTCTCCTACCAAGTCTCTTTGTTCTGTTGCCACTGTTTCTCTGCCACTGCTTCTCACCATCTCTCACTATCTCAGCAAGGTGTTACAGCTTTCTCTCTGTCGCCAGGGTCAAGGAAATCCTGATGCTGAAACCCAGGTCCAAAGAATGCACTCTACTCCTAGACTTGCTCAATCCAAGGTTGCCACAACTTTCAAATAGTAAAAAAAAAAAAAAAAAAAATGCAGTATCTGCAAAGCACAATAAAGCAGAATACAATTAAATGAGGTGTGCCTATATCTGTCTGTCTTCATTGCTGAAATTTGAGGTCCTTGACATGTAGAGGAGGAAAGAACTAACTTTTGGAGTTGGACAAAGGAGAGATTAAATTATAGTGTACCCAAGTGCTAGCCATATAATGTAGAACAAGTTACTTCACCTCTATGAAATTTACTTTCCCATACCTTACAGAAATGTTGGATACACACCTAGAAGATGTGGTATTGGTGAACGAATACACAAATAGATCAGTGGAATAGAAGAGACAGCCCAGAAATAGACTCATACAAATAGTGTCAACTAATCTTTGGCAAATTAGTAAAGGGAATTTTATGGAGAAAGGGTAGTCTTTTCAACATGGTGCTGGAAGAACTTGACATCCACGTGTTAAAAAAAAAAAAAAAATGGAGCTAGACACTGATCTTATACCTTTCACAAAAATTAACTCAAAATAGATCATAGATGCAAAAATATAAAACTTCAAGAAGATAACATTCAGAAGTACAGAATGTTCCTTAGAAACAAGGATGGTAGACTTTGTCTCATTTACTTTGGATACAAACCAATCACTGAAAAATGACACTAGGCTTGGTAAAGAAGCTCTGGTGGTGTAGTGCCTAAGGCATTTGATTGCTAACCAAAAGGCTGGTGGTTCAAACCCACCAGCCACTCCTCAGAAGGAAGATTGGACAATCTACTTCCATAATGATACTGCCTCGAAACCCAAGGAGGGGTCACTGTGAGTTGGGTCTGACTTTATGGCAGTGAGTTTGGTGTTTTTTTGTTTTGCTTTGTTTTTTTTGGCTTGGTAAAGTAGAAGGTCAGCATAAAAGAGAGAAACCCTTAATGACATGGATTAATACAGTGGCTGCAACAATGGGCTCAAACATAGCCATGACTGTGAAAATGGTGGAGGATCAGGTCATATTTCATTCTGTTGTACAGAAGATTGCTATGAGTGAGAGCTGACTCAACACACCTAACAACAACAATAGAAAATAACAGGAGAATCTTGGATTTTGCTTTAACTTTTTAGATACAGCACCAAAAGCAAGATCCATAAAAGAAATAAATGATAAGTTGCATTTCACTAAATTAGATAATCAGTTGTGATGGCAACAAAGAAATTCTGATAATTCAAGCACTTATAATAATTTATCACTGCCATGATAAATTAGACTAGATCACATAGATCACATAGGCTTCTATGTGATCACAGGAAAATGCTTTATTACTTAGCAAATTACAAGGTCTTTCATACTTTATATCCTCAAAAATGGTTGTTAGATGATTATTGTTTCTATAATTTTCTTTTATAAACACATATTAATAATTTAGGTGCATTTTTGCAGGTAAACAATCAATTAGTGAAATCCTAAATATCTGATTCTTATATCTAAGCCCTTCCCACTTGTAGTTACTTAGCTAGTAAGACTTGTGGCTGGGGACCACAAGAGCGGCAGGATCCAGGTAAGGGTTGGGAGGCAGACAAGGCTCCAGCCCCCTAGAGCCAGGAAAGTGAGGGAGCAGCCGGGGACCACAAACTGGCAGGATCCATGTAGGAATTAGGTAAGGGGAGGGTGGAGAGGTTTCCAACAGCTAAGGGAGACAAATTTGTCTGTCAGTTTGTCATCCTGTGGGGCTTGCATGTTGCTGTGAGGCTTGAGACTGTGCCACCAGTGTTTCAAATGCCAGCAGGGTTGTTGCACATAGTGCACAGGTTTCAATGCAGCTTACACACTGAGACAGACTAGGAAGAAGGAAGAGGCCATCCACTTCTCAAAAAATTGGCCAGGGAGACTTCCGGTAAGATGGAGGAATAGGCAAACAAGTGATGCAGACCCTCTTCAACAAAGAAAAGAAAATCCAATTGACAGAGATACAGAAGATAATCCTGGAGCCCTGAGCTTTGAAAGGAGCTATACAGAAGTGGATTAGGTACCAACTAGTGGAAAAACCTGAACAAAAACATGACCTAAGAATAGGCTCTGTTTGCCAAGTTTGGAAGGGGCATACAAGAGGCTGACAACAGGACAGTAGACAGGTGGTGAGTGTATAAGTGCTGTCAACTAGAGAATAGAGGAGCACAGTATCCTGCTTGCGTAGATAACATACAAACAAAACAAAGAAAATTAAAATCCTGGGCAATTCACTCCAACATACAATCATCAATTAAATATAAACACAAAAATGTCACAATGCCTCGGAGATGACACAACATCACAGTGCACACAAAGAAGCAAGAGAAACAAGGGACCAGGATACAGAACCAAAATGCATCCCTGAGGAAGACATAGCATTGGAACTCCCTGATAAGGAATTCAAAAGAATTATGTTTAAGTATCTTCAACGAATTGGGATTCAGATCAAGGAAAACACAGAGAAAACCCTAGAACAATTTTGAAAGACAATACAAGAACAAAATGACAAAATAAATGAAAAATTAGAAATTATACAAAATATACACACACAAATCCAGAAGATTCATACTAAATCTTCAGAAATAGATAAGACATTGAATGGGCAAAGGACTGGAATTGAATCAATGGAAGACAGAATAAGGGAGACTATTCAGGCAAATACCTGAACACTTCTTTGGAAAGGGATAAATCAGAAAAAAGATGAAAACAAAATGAAGAAAGTCTAAGATTCATGTGGGATACCATCTAAAAGAATAACCTACGTATCATTGGAATTCCAGAACAAGAAGAGACAAACAAAACCACAGAGAAAATTGTCTAAGATTTGTTGGAAGAAAATTTTCCTAGTAGAGGAAAGATGAGAATATATCCATTCAGGAAGTCCAACAAACCCCAAACAGGATAGACCCCAAAAGAAAATCACCCAGATATATCATCATCAAACTCACCAAAACCAAAGACAAAGAAAGAATCATGAGAGCGGCGTGGGAGAAAACAAAACTTACCTACAAGGGGCAACCAATAAGACTAACCTTGGATTTCTCATCAGAAACTATGGCAAGAAGACAATGGGATGGTATATATAAAACACTGAAAGAGAAAAATTTCCAACCAAGAATTATGAAATCGACACCAGCAAAACTGTCCCTCAAATATGATGGTGAAATCAGGACATTTCCAGATAAGCAGAAATTAAGGGAATTTGTTAAAACCAGACCAACCTTACAAGAGATGCTAAAGAGATCCCTTTGCACAGAGAAGCAAAAACAGCCAACAACAACTGACCATGATATAACCCAGAAGCCAAGCCAGCTATGGAAGTATCCAAAGTAAGTAAAGCCTACAAGATTGTAAACAGGGAACCAGAGACATCAATTGACAAATGAAGATAACTACAAAAAGAAGGAAAAAAACTGTGTCATTACAGAACTTTTAGATGGTAAGGAAGTCAAGACAACTACAAGATAGAATGAACTGTTCTAAACTTGGGAATAAAACTATAAATCACAGGGTAACCTCAAAGAACAGTGATAAACCTTCACATCAAAATAAAAAAGAGGACAAGCATAAATAGTCAGCAAATACTAAAACAATAGCAATGAAGGAAGTGATAAAATGATTCATAAATAAAACAAGCTCAGCATAGAAAATTATATGGAACAAAGAAATCGACACCATGAAAAAGCACATAACAAAAATGACAGCAATAAATTCCTATTTGCTGATAGTTACATATCTGGCAAGGGACTTATCTCTAAAATTTATAGTTGAGGAGTGAATGACCAAACTATGGTTCATACACATAACGAAATGCTGTGCAGCACTAAAGAATAATGTAGAGTCTGCAAAACACTGCATAATATAGATGAACTTGGAGGACATTATGCTGAGTGAAATAAATCAATCACGTAAGGACAAATATAGTATTAGTTCATTGTTGTGGAGGGTCAAGGAAAGGTTTATATATGGAGAGAAACTTTCTTTGTTGGTT